TCCTGGCAGGCAGCAACTGGTAGTCGGCGGCGGCATGCGACAACAGGCTAGGCGAATGGTTGTTTTGATGTTGTAAAAGCAAAAAAAAATAAATTTTTTTTTTGCTATTTTTAGTATTTTAAAAATGGATGCATTCTCTTAAAAAAATAAAAAAAAAATAAAACAAAAAACGTATAAGCGAATATTATTTTTATGTTTTTTTCCTATTTTTTGTTTTCAAAGACTAAAAAACAAAAACAAAAATTGATCACAAACAAGCCCTTATTTGCTGCCCATTTTTATGAAAGCCTCTTAAATCAATGAATTTAAAAAGTGTCTCATTAATAGGATTTTTTTGAGATCAAATTGGCAATCACAAAGATCGGATTATCCTTTTGTACACGCTAATAACTTATTTTGTTACACTTGTTTTGTTCAAGAAAATTTATCATCAAGGGCTTTGAATTTTGAAAGCACCGGAATTTGAAAATATATAATATAACCCACTTAGTGTGATGGTTATCATGTTATACTTTAAAAATATTTTTGATACTTTAAATTGGTTTGTGAGTGATAATTTTCTTTTTTTAGCGTTTCATTTTATTTTGATAAATTTCTACCATTGTGGGTATTTGTTTGTCATGTTGCCTTGAGAATGCTTAAAAGCATTCTACTAAATTACAACAAATGCATCTTGGATCACCTTTGTGACTAAATTCATAGTTTTTGTTTTTGGTTTCGACTTTGTTCATGTTTTTCTTAGTGTTTGTTTGGGTCACCTGCAACTTATTAAAAAGTTATCGCACTGCAGCTGTGCCAGGAAGCTAGTGCGGAGAAGAACTGTTTATTTTGTGCAGTTGTGCAACAGTTGTGTTGTAGCTGTTTATGATAAAAATATCTTTTTGCCCCTGTATTATTGTTCTGTTTATAGTACAATCAACTCTGGTTGCACAATTTATACATGAAAATATAAATCCAATTTGAATATTACATGATAAAAACTGACACCTCACTAAACAATGAGTAATATAACAATCAAAATTAAAAATAAAACTATTAAAATAACAATTAATATTATCATAATGCTGAATTTGAAATGTGCAATCCATACGAGAAAGAGGGCCAACCACCAAGAGCAAACCAAAATTTCAGTGGGCATACATAGAGGCCACATACCACAATGAACAACCCATCTGCTATGTCATAGAAAAAAGAGCAAACCACCGATAGAAACCCGAAAAGAGCAACCTCCAAATGCCATAGGAAAAAGAAGCCTAAAGTCCAAGTCCGTTCCTTCGAGAGGCCACAAACCACAAAAAGCTAGCCACGAACCACATTGAACCAAAAACCGAATAGAGTAAAGAGCACAAACAACAAAGACCAAATGCCTCCAAATTTTGAAGGAAAAAAATGATAAATTCTGAAATCCCATCCTTCTAACAGAGAAATTCGATTTCTCTCTAGAGCAAATCCACAAATTGCAAAGAGCAAGTCACACATGACAATGAACCTCAAACCGCAAAGAGCATACAACATAACCACAAAGAGAAGGGTTAGAGGATGGAGAGCAAAGGAACCAAACAAAGCCGGAGATCGGAGAGAAGCGAGTGAGGAGAAAGCAATCCCATGACACTGGAGCCGGAGATTGGAGAGAGGTGAGAGAGAAGATATCTAGGACAGAGACACGAGAGAGGAGAGCGGGGCATTATCGTGAGAGAGTTTGAACCGTGGCGAGAGGAGGGTAGCCAGGTAATAAAATTGCAAAAAAAATGCTGCTTGTGTTTAAGGCTGCAGTGACTAAACCATTGCCATGTCGCTACAACCAAACATGATTTTTTTCATTTTCCCACTATGCCACAGCAAATAAGTTGCCCCAAATGGGCCCTTCGTTAATAGTCTCCATCCATGTGCCATGGTTTCTTTCATTTACAACACATGCAATTAAAAGTTTTAGTTAGTTTTTTTTTTTTTTTTTGATTGCTGTGTTGATTTTTTTGTTCAGATGTGGACATCTTATGATCATCTTAAATTGTATAGCTATTCCCCTTCCTTCAATACCCAAAATAATCAATGCATTTTTAAATTGTTTGAAAGTTTAAAAACGAGTTTTCTTCATATGATATTTTATGTTACTTTCTTGAAAATACATCAATTAATTAATTGCCTAATAATTAAGATGAGGCTATTATATTTTAATAATATGTGATTCATAGAAATTTCAATTTTGATCGTTTAATCAATTTGTATCATTGTCTTGTAGTTTTAATAGCGAAAAATTGACCAAATTAAACTCCATGGAGCTTATTATGGTTTGAATTTTTTTGTCCTTCAATATAAATCTTTTTGCCCCTTGAAACTTTTAAAAGGTTGAATATTAGATTCTAGGATAAAAACTGTTGGGGCTATAATGATTATTAAAATATAAGAGACCAATGTGGATATTTTCTCTTTTTTCTTACCGTAAAATCAACATTATCTTTGTCAATCTTAATTTTACCAAATGTTTATATGCTCTACTCGACAACACGAAACCAAATAACCATGATGCTCGTTGCCTAAATATCAGACATCTTTATGCTTAGTTCACGTAGAGTATGTTATTGATTTTCATCTCAATTTCACTCCACCTTTTAAGAAATGATAATAGCAAGCTCAAGACATGAATGTCATTATTGAATTTATCATTTGATCTTCATTTACTAATGTTAAGATAAAATTATTTATTATGATTATTGCAAAGATTATTTTTTTCGTTCTAGGGTAGAACTCATTTTTGATTGGATATATACATTTACTAAATATGGCTTCTCATTAATATCTAATACTGCTTTTATTACTCTAGCAGTTGTAGCCTTTTTATCTATAGGACCTTGAAGGTAACACTCTCAATAAATGATAGATGCATAGCTTTTAAGTTTCCTTTTACGGAGATCTCTCGAAGATGTTGATGCTGTTTTCTTAATGAAAGGCCAATGCAGCATCTTCCCGTATGAGTAATCTTCTATTTGCATTGTCAATTATCTAAAAAATTTTCCATTTAAGTTTGTTGGTTTTTACTTCTCCCTCTTTATCATCGTTCCTTCTTTTCCTTTGGAAATTTACAATTTAGTTTGATTCAATTTAACACAGAGTAAAATGAGAGCAAAAAAGATATTGCAAAAAGCTTACGTAAAAGATAATAAATTTTGTAGTTTGGTGAGATTCACTCCCATTTTCCACAATTACTTAGAAAAAATATTCCATTATAATTGATAAAAAGGTGCAATACTATTTTTTCTTTAAGAGGAGAAGGTTAATGAAGGACTCCCCTATAAAATAAGAGGTTGTGATGAACCAGTTTAGAAAAGAACCTTAATTTGTATCCCTGATTTGTATTAGGAAAACTATTTTGTGGCATCACCTTGCTTGCCTCGGCACAAGAGCAATTACTTCCATCACTGCACTTGCTTTTGGCACCTTTGCTTTTGTTTCTGGAGCTGCCATTGACGCGGGGCTGATGTGCGGGACCGGTTGGTCCGGCATGTCGGTGCTGGTCTAGCAGGGAGGCTGAACCAGCCAGCCTTCTAATGGGGCAGAAATTACTGCCCCTTCCTCCTTTTGTTTTGCTATTCTATTCCCTTCCATGAGGGAAATCCCTTCCAATTCTATTCCTTGAAATTGTGACTTAAATGTTTTTAATGCTACTATACATAGTCTATTCGCAAATATATTTTGTTGTGTCCAAATTTAAATTTAAGAAAACGGAGAAGGATAGCCATAGGAAGTGGTAAGGTTTTGAATCACTATTTCAATTGAGTTCATCTCCTCAGGGAAAAGAATGGCTCTGCTATTAAAATGATCTGCCTACGTTAATTGAGTTTTTTACATCATTTTTCATTTTGTTTCGGATGGAATCCCACCATCTATACCACAAAGTTTTCTGTTCCTTAGATTTAAGGTTTGATATCTTGCCAATTCTACCTACGAAATTTCTGCAGTTTAGCTGAAGGATGCCAAATTGTTAATCTGTCTTCTACGTAAGATAAAACTAGGAAACTTTTGTTATGAAGTCATTTCAAACCATCTGACTTACCTAGCGAAACATGTTTTAGGAGCTACGACCAAGATCTACCGCTTGGTTTTCCTCTTAGTTTTGACTCACAATATATTGTATTCTTCCTTCTCTTATTTTGACTTTTTTTAGAGAATTTCATCTCTCTCTTTGACCACCGTGCACTTGGCTTCCTCAATTTCTCATAAATATGCAAATCCATGTAATCTACTATATTCTGTACAAGTGATTGGAGCGGATTTTATTCTTATCTTATTTATTTTCTTACTCGGAGAATGCTCTTCATCAATATTCCCTATTGATACTTTCGTCCTGGGAGAAATTTTTCCATATGGAGTACGTATGCAACTCTGCGTGCGGGCTCCAGTAATATGCCGCCATTGTATCTATCCTGGATCTCATTGCCGACATTGTATCTGATTCATGCTACTCTATTAGGCCAGTGGTCGCTTCACCTTTCTACACAATCTTTGAGCAACAAGAACTGACTATCTTTGATCACTGTTATTTACAAACTCAAATGATGGTAATTTATGTGCCACCTTGAGCCTACAGAAGAATCTTATCATTTCTAAAATTATATATATTCTAATTTATTTATAATATAAATATGCACTGTCAATTATTATAATATCTTCTCATTGTTGAAAATATTCTCTTTTACCGTTCTTTCTTTGACTATTCTCTTCTCATCTTTATTTACAGGCACATTTATTCTTGTACTTGTATGCTAATTTAGTAAAGATGATATCTTTCTAATTATCTCCTAAAGATATGAGTTGTTTTTTGGTGCAGTCAGAACTTTTAGTTATCAAGAAGAAGAATAGGCGCTACTGTCCCATCTACTTTCGGAAGGTCTGTTCTCTTTCAATTAATAAAGCAAAATATTTATTGATACAAATACCAACAAACATAGATTTTTGCCATTTTCGTTCCCATATAGGAAGATTTAGAGAGGGAACTTTTGAAAGCCTCAAGGGGACCCAGAGGGCCTGGTCTTTCTCAACATATAATGGTAATTTATTATGAGTTCACGCCTCAACTACTTTGGTGGTCCCATCACTGCCTCGAAACTTAACGTAGTATTTCTTATACAGGTTGGTAGTTTGGAAGACGTTCTTAAAAAAATGGAGGTAAGGAAGAAAAAGTTATTTATCTATCAAATATGAGTGGAGTTACAGTGTGGGCATTGGGGCTATATATATATATATATATATATATATATATATCTTTAAAATTTTCTCATCATTATTTTCTGTACACTATTTTTTTTTTAATTCCCCTTCACTTAATGTTTTACAATATAGAAAAAAATAATTAATTTATATTTCATATACATTCTCAAATTAAATAAATATATGTGTCGCATATACATTTAAATAAATTCATGTGTCAGGCAAATTGGGTTAAAAAATATTAAAGAATTTTCATTTTATAATATTTTATGAAACAATTAAAGTTTTGTTGATGAAATGATTATACTACTATGTCAAATAAATTCATATGTCAACTTCGGTCTTAAGCTCGAATAAAAAAAGTTTAGATTATTTTTAAATTATTCTTACAAATTTCTGGCTCACTGCTTACAAAACTGGACTGTAGTTTACCATTCAGCAGTTTGATTCAATGTGATGTATAATCGCAGGTGAATGACAATAATTCTGGATGGGATGATCTAATTTTTATCCCACCTGGAAAAAGTTACACCCAGCATGTTGGCGAAGCTGCGTCAGGATAAATGAGCATCTTTGTCGCTTCAATGCCCAGCAGCAATTCTGAAAGGAAATTTATTCTTTCCTTTATTCTTTTCTAAAACAGGTTTGCCGCTAGAGCTTCTTATTTAATTCCTGGATTTTCTGGCAGATCTTGAATTTTGAATTTGATCTAATTTTAAGTGAGCCTGTGAGTCCGCCGAAGTACGAGTTTTGTTTATGGCCGTTGGAAAAATCTAGTATAATATTATGATTGGAGATTAGGGAGGCGGTAAAGAGGAGTAAAGAGATGGATGTTGCTGCTTTGTATGGAGTTTTTCATTCAAGGAAACTTATCTTGTGTTTTTTATTTTTTTCCTTAAATTATAATCTTGATAGGGTTTTCAATTTACTTTCATTCAAGTTATAAAATTCTCGAATGCTTGTACTCGAGTGTTTGTATGCACGCACGTGCGAGTGTGTGTGTGAATTATCCTAAATTTGATTCATAATTGACCTGAAAATCTGGTTTTACTAAAAAAATCTCGAACCGACTCTCCTTACTCGGATTGGGTTTGGGTCAATCAGGTTGAATATGAAATGAGGTTAGTTAGATCTTCCCATTTGTTAAATAAAGGGTTTGATTTATGTCATGCAAGCTTGGGTTGGGACAAAGTTGTGTCAAATTTGGACACAGCCTGTTAACTTAAATTGACTTGTTGCTGACATTTGGTCACCCATCTCCATGCTCAGTGATAAATCGTTTTAGCTCTCAAATTGTACATCTATCAACATTATTGTAATAATTTTTTTCAAAAACAAATTTTGGAGATTGAGGGTCCGTTTGGGGGTGGCGGTGCGGTACAACAGTGCAGTTTTGTCTGTTTGGATAAAGTGTGTTTTGATAGTTATTTCAAAAAGTTACCGCTGAAATCTATTTTTTCCTACCGATAGGTGTAGTGACAATTTTTTAGCTGTGGTCCGATTTTTTCAAAAAAAAAGTAAATCATCTCAACTTTTCGAACATAAGATTATTTTTCAGCAGGTTCACAGATACAATTGTTTTAAACAAACCCTGAATGTCCTATCATATAGTTTGGTTTTTCTCAAAGAAAATCATATAAAACAACCCTCATTATTGCCCTACATCCAATTTTACAATGTGTGGAAAATCAATTAACAAGCGCTCGAATTTACTATTTCAAAATAGGGCCATAAAACAATGCAATAATAGATGCATTATAAGTATTTTTTTTTTTTTTGCATGGAGCTTAATTGCAACATTATCATCCTTGATTAGTTTAACTATCAATCAGGTACCAATTATTCAATGTTTAGTGATTACAAAGAAGGGTACTTGGCTTCCGCCTCTTTCAACAATGAATTTTAATCTCTCTTAGAATCGCTCGATAACTATGATGCCAATTACATCAATTTAAACACAATGAATTTAGCATTGACAACTCATATATGAAACTTCTTGAAATCAAGACGAAAACTTGCTTTCTTTTATTTGCTAATTAAAGTTGTTGGCTCTTTCACCCAATGCTAGTGATGGTTTGAATTGTTGGGCCATCCATTCTACAAAAACAATGAGACTTAGACATTTCACCCTCCAATATAATGCTGGTCAGACTCATCAACTAATCCACCTAGCAACTCAATTTTCATTTTGAAAGTAGAAATACTTGAGATTATCGAAGGCAGTTAAAAGATTTGAACTATAAAAAAGGCTTTAGATTTTATTTTTTTATTTTTGGTTAAGACCCTTTTTGATGACATTCAGGTATAGTAAATTAGTTCTGTGCATGTGATTTGATATTATGTTGAAAATCTTCATAAAAAGTAGTTTAGAAATTTTATTATGTCTTCTTAGAACTTTTGAACGTTAAAGTTAATAAATATGATACCATTATTTTACTCTTCATAAGTATACATGCATTAATAATTATATTTCTAATAAAGAAATGCAAATACAACCAAGCTAAATTGAATATACTGTTTTAAATAATAATAAAAAACTAAAGTCTTATCTTATTTATTTGAGTTTTATTTGTTCATCCAAAAAGGAGTCAGTACAGATCTAAACAAGGATCCAACGGTCCAGAATGAAGAAATATGATGAAGGAAGATCCCGTGTAAGGAGATTGCGGGACCCATTGAGTTAGCCGAACCAAGCTAAAGAGTCAAAAATTGATGTGAAGACGCTTGACCTGTACCAAGCAAGCAACTCACCTAGAAGTTCACCAAAATGATGTCTGAATCCTTAACCAAGGGAGAGCCGACTCAATATAGAAGGTTATCCCGCAGGAGAGCTCAAACGCGAGAAGGGATAGTTCTACAGAGCATTTTTGCTCATCTAGTAGATACCAAAAGGCTTCTCGCCATAAACAAAATCTTTGAACCCACTAAGATTAGCCAATCGAGCTTAGCCAATCTAGCCCAGCTGATTGAGATAATCAGTCGAGTTGAGCCAATCTAGCAATTCTGATCAAGATAGTCAACTAAGCTAAGCCAATCGATCTGTTATAGAATACCTAAAATACCTATGGTAACCCCATTCGAAAGGGGGCAAATATGTAATGTTAATATTATATCAAATCCTCTATAAATAGGGAAAACACTTATTGTAGAAGGGGCTATTACATTTTTACTCTTCATTTAAGAGAATATCACTTCAATAGTAAAATAATTTCTCCCTTGCACTCTCCCCTCACACACTATTCCTTGAGCTTGATTTAAGAAATTTTTTTTTGATTCAATAACATGATTAAAAAATATAGCTGTTCTATAAAACTATAATAAAAACAATGAATTTCGAATCTAATTATTACACCTAACATTTTTTTAGTAAGGAATGCCAAACATTTTTAGATTTGTGGCTAAATTTCATTAAAAATTTCTATGTTGTGTTATAAATGATGTTGACACATGTCGGAAGATTCACGGTAGTAGAGTAATTATTTATCGTCTTAACGCTGCACAAAAATTTAGCACACACACAAGTAATTGAAGTGACAGGTAGTAACACCAAAAGTTTTTGTGGAAAACTCAAAAAAAGAAATAAATAATAAGGGCTTATACCAGTCAGAACGATCCACTATAAGTTGATTAGCACACGTACAGTCAATTGTCTCACAGATCAGAAATTATTAAAAGTTTTTCATGATATAATAATAGTATGCAAAATGATTTGTTGAATGATGATTGGGAGCGGTTACAGTTGGGAGTAGTTGCCAGTAATTTATGCATCACTTTCGAAGTGCATCTCTGCAGTGTGTGCATGGCGATGCATTGCTTCGCAGGATGCCTTGTTATTCCTCCATGTTGGTTTTTACTCTGCAGCGTACGTGTGACTTTGCAAGGGGCTTCATTGAAACAAGCATGTGATGGTCGATAGTGGTTGACAGAGGCCGACGAGTGGTGGTCGACTGTAGTCAGTGGCTACAGAAGTAAAGAGCTTTCCTCGAGTCTTTGGTCCGAAATGACACTGAAATTCAGCTCATTCTCCTGTTCCAGCTCCAAGTTGAGCTCTTCCTTCAGTTTAAGCTCTAGGTCTCCTTTGATGAATGGGGTATGACTCAATTTACAGAATCTGAGAGTAACCTCTATATAAATAAGGAATGAATGCATACAACTCCATCGGGTGAGTAAGAGAGATTCCCCGGATCAGATAAAATTTTGTGAACATTTAAGTTTCTTAATGGTGTCGAAATTGAGTGAACTTGGGCTAATTATATTTGTCTTATCGAGACACTAGATTTGACTATAAGCATGTCAGATTTGAAATCCATTAGGCATTCCAATTAGCCACACAAAACTTCCAAATATGGTTTAATGACTTAATCTTAGCTTGTTCTGAATTGAATTTGGCCAATTTTGGTGTCATTGGATCTTCCTCGTCAAACCGATTAGTTTGAATGCAAGTTTACTAAAGTCAGAGTTTTGACTTTTTATTTTAAGTTAAGTTTGAATGTTTTTTGCTTAAAAATGCTCCATGATTTGTGCTAATCATCTTTAGATTTGTACCTCATGACAAAATTTGTTGATGATATATCAGGTGATGAGCTATTATAAAAAGTTAATAAGAAATAATAAAACTAGCATGATTTCATGCAGAAATTCTAACAAAACAACCCAAACTCCTTTGATAATCATAGCCAAGTACAACTATAAAAAAACTCGTCCTTTATGAACCACTTGTATTCAACTCGTTAAATAACCCGTATTTGATTCTTCAGTTAAGCAAGAGAGCCGAACACAAATAATTTTCTTAAGTTCAATTGATAAAAGAGCCGGACACAAAAATAATATTTGCTCATTACTCTTCAACTCATTTTATGTCAAAATAATTAAATAAAAATATTTATTTATATCCTCTTTTATACTAAGTTTTTATAGTATTTAAAAATATTAAATATAGTTATTATTTTTCTTAAATTTTTTTGGGTAGTACAACTATAAAAAAAATACAAGTAGGTGCTGGATATATAAATACACATGATTTGGTGGTCTGTCTGTAAATATTCCCAAAATATAGCTGAGGCCTGTGTCCCCCATTCCTTAAAGAGTGTCAAATATGTAAATACAGTTGTTCCGCGGCTGTAGAGAGAAGAGGAGACACAAAATCCAAGCAACTTTTGTTTCATATGGGAAAGAGGGGATGTCTCTGTGCATGTGAGGTGAAGATCTTCATAGAAGTTCAGTTAGAAATATTTATTATGTATTTCGTATAACTTCTGAACGCTGAAGTCAGTAAATATAATACATTTATTTTACTGTTTATAGCCTTACATGCATTAAGTATCCTATTTATAATAAAGGAATGCAAATACAATCAAGTTATAAAGAATATAATTTTTTAAATTCAAATAAAAATTAGATAAAGTATTATTTGATTTATTTGTGCCACCTGATAAAAAAATATAGCCATTTGATAAAAATATATTAAAAAAAAACGAATTTTAAATCTATTTATTGGATGTAAAAATTAGATTTTTTTTATTAAGGAATATTAGACATTTTTAGAATTTATTGTTTAAGGAATTTTGAATCTATTTTGTTAATAAAAATATATGTCGGCAATTACACCCAGATCACTTAAAATTTATTATTTATAAATCGACCACACTTTCCTCTATTTTTCAAATTCTCACTTAAGAGAAAATATTCTATCAGGACTCCGCATGCAGAGTTACTTGCTGAGTCCAATGAAATCAAGCCACGCGACGGTGATAGGAAAAATAATAGAATCTGTCTGGTAACACAAGAGAATATTCCCCCGGTATTAGTCATGTGCTATTGTGTGTTATTCAAGTGTTATTAATGTGTTATTGTGTTATTATAACTCCGGGAATATTCCCGGAACACAATAACACCTGAATAACATACAATAACACATGAATAACATAGAATAACACGGTGAGAATATTCTCATGTATTACCGTGCCGATTTTTTTTATATACCTCCATGTGACGTGATTTTATTGGACTCAACGCATAACTTTACGTGCGGAGTCCTGATACAATAATTTTTCCTCAGTTAAATATTGAGATTCATTATAAAAGAGCAGTTAATATTATATGAGCACAATATAAAAGAGCAGTTCATATTATATGAGCACTTGATTTGTAAATACTAATGTTTAGGATGGTTCTTATGTAATTATAACTATAAAAAATTAGTAATAAAATAAATAAAGTAGCGTGATCCGACCCACACGTATTGCTTTGATAATCTAAACAGCATCTACAAATATGTACGAATTCAAAGGAGAATCGAGTCGTCAGGGGAACGATTTCGGATAAAAGCCCGGGAAACGTTTCCCCACTTTAAAAGGAAGAAGTTTTTTCACCCCCAATCGTTACGCGCCATCCATTGTATGGTGCTGAGAAATGAACGGTTCGATTTGGTAGGTTCATAGTACACGTGGTGAGTCATATTCATGGTATGGTTCTCCCTCGCCGTCGGTCACCCTTCCCCCGCCCGTATCATTTGGTGGAACCACGATTTTCTTTTCGCCATTTTTATAGCTTCGTTCTGCCTTTTGATTTCTCGACCTTCGCTGGATCCCGATGAGTTACCAGCGCCACGATCACCGCCATGGCTGGCCGCCGGGAAGGGTTTCTGGCTGCCGGAACACTCCGTCATCGACCTACCATGCTCGCCCACCGGGTGTTCGCTTCCATCGGGGATTTGAACAGCCGCTGTCTCCGGTCTCTTCGCCTGGTTTCACTCTTGTTCTCTTACGTCGCGGCGGTGGTCGGGGATTACCTTGCCCTAAGGTAATCGCGGACTTGATATCTACTTGCCCGGCGGTCCCCGTTGATTTCTTCGTCCGTGCAGAGGGCAACGTTGCCGCGAAGCTGTTCTTTCAGCAGTGGTGCCATGTCTTAGAAGCGCTTGTCTTTTTTTGGAGGCGTCGTCTCGAAGGCTTTCATTTGCTCACGCCATCACTGATTTCCGGGGTTTCGGTTTGTTCTGATCGAGATGAATTGGAGGAACGCCTGCGAGTGCTCTTTACGAGTCACATCAACGGATTGCTGGAGGGGGAATCGGTGCAGAAAATTAATAGTAGGATTGGTGAGGTTTCTGCGGAGGTGAGTAAGGTTGGGAAGCAGCTTTCCCGACCCCAGCACTTGGGGTTTCATCAGAAGTTACAGGAAGAAAGAAAGAGTTTGATAGAGGAATTAGGGTTGCTGAAGGACAGGCTGGGGGAGTTCCGCGCTGCTTTAGGTTGCCTGCTTGATCATCTTGGCGGGAAGAAGACTCTTGGGCTTCGAGAGATGGGGCAAGTTGAGATTTTTAGGTTTGATGTTGAACTTGACTGGGCCAGAGTTCACCATATTATTTTGAGGGAGTGCAAGAGACTCAGTAGTAGTTTACCTATATACTCTTACCGTAGGGAAATTCTTCGGGGTGTGTCTTCTAATCAGGTATTGCTACGCCGGATTTGTTTATGCCGAGTCCAGTAATTTAATTTTTTTGAATTAATTATTGAAATTATCTTGACAGCCCAGTTTTTCTCAGCTATTCTTTTAATTGACAGTTCAGTTCTTTGTCATGTTAGTTTTCTCTGTATTTTAATCGTACTTTCATCAATTATGTTTCTTTAAGGCCAAGTTTAATTTTTTCTTGTACAACTGGATTCTTCTCTTAAATAATGTTTTTTGAATAGTTGAGATTTGTCTAGATTGTTAAATATTTGTTTTTTTTTTCCATCTTTATTCTGATGAAATATTTTTATTAATCTTTTCTGGGTCGTTGGGCTTATTGTTTTAATCAAAGCTTCACGTTTTCATCCCACAAATTTTTGTAGGATTTCCCATACATTGTATTACTTTGAATGAACTGCTCTAGTTTCTTCCAATCAAGTAAAAGCTCATTGCACGAATTAAAATACTAAGCGATTAATAAGAAAACCAGTGTGGACAGGATTATTTCTTATGTTTTAGCGACACGGGGTGATGAATCATGTGCAAATAAAGAGAAAGAGGAAAAACATTTGAGTTGATGTAAAGGGTCGAATAATCTAGGGATGGACTCACTGAGAAAAAGACTGCAACTTCATATCTTTAGTGTAGAGGAAAATATTAAAATGGAGAATAAGCAGAAGGTTTGGATTTATTGCAGCCTTTGTTGCCAGGAATAGCTTTTTAGCTATAGGGAAAATTTTTTGTCAAGATTTTCAAGAATAAGAATCTATGCATATTTTTTGTAATGTTAAGATATTATGAGAATTAAGTGAGATCATTTAGTGTCAGCAAAAGTTTTAAGCATACATGATGCACATTTTTGTTTCTATGGTTGGTGATGCTCTCTATTCTTATTACAACAAGGCTCATATCGTCATAAGAAACTAACTTATCTTGAGCTTTAGAAAACGTGCTTGCTTTGCATGCCTTAGTATATAGGGGTAATATTTAGTCAGTATATAGGGGTAATATTTAGTCAAGTTTAGTTCAACAAATGCTTTAATATGACAATTTATGTTTGGCTTTAACTCTACTTGCAATGAACTTTTAGTAAGCTTGAAATTTATTTTTAATTTATTTTGCCCATAAATATCACAGAGTATACTGTTTTATGTATTGTATATTTTATGTAACTAATTATAAAAAGTTGACTTTTCATTAAAAGTCATTGTAAAATTTAAGATGGAATTGAAATTAGTTTAACCTATTTTAAGTCTAGTCAAAGTTTGTGGGAGTTTTGAGTTTCAAGCTTTTGTAAAAACTTTGGCATGAACCTTGTATGGGGCATTATGATATCTTCTGGAGCGATTAGGCAGACTTCTAACTTTTCTATTGATGATACTTAGAATCCAAGGTCAATTATGTCTATTTTTGTCATCTTTCATCAAGGGGTTTGTGGAATTATTGTATTTTTCGAGCCAAATCCTTTTGTTTTTTTGTTTTTAATGTACATCTTGGGTAACCATATTTTTTACTCATGTTATTAGAAGTGTGGATGATTTGCAAACTTTTTAGAAACTATGTTTATGTCATCGTGGCTTTTATCACATTTATGTTTTTTTTGTGTTTTATCCTTAGGTTTGTAGAAGACATGATGCCATATGTTTTGAGATTGGCAATGTAGGCATGCTACCAGCTGCATTAATATAAACATGACATAGAATTCTCAAAATCCAATTATGCTGTGCTCTGAAGTAATTATGGGGGTCACACTGTACTATGGATGGATTTTTATAGCATAATGCTGGATTTAATATTTATAATTATGCATGGGATATTTGTGAGGAATCATATTAAATCTTGATCATAAATGGGTGTTGAGAGGCTTGAAAGAAACTTCATGAACTGGTATGTGTTGTAACAAAGGACATACATGGAAGTTCTAACAAATGTAAGAATGTTTAGGCTGATTTGATGGATTTTGAAGGTTTAAGAGCGAAATGGCTATTTTGGAAAAGATTTGGGGTATGCTTTCCTTTAGAATGGTAAAGTTCAATGCACTTATGTTGTTCTGTTCATTTATATTGATATATTTTTTGGCATTAAATAATAGCTTATGGAATTTGATTTCTGAGAAAAATCTTAAATCATTATGCCCAACTTATGTGGTTCCATTACTTGTAAATCTGAATAGATTCTGAGAAGTTTGTCCTTTTGTTTTTTCCTATAGGTTGTGGTCTTGATTGGGGAAACAGGTTCAGGAAAGAGCACACAGCTAGTACAGTTTCTAGCTGACGCTGGCTTAGCTAGTAGTGGATTGATTATTTGCACTCAACCGCGCAAGATTGCTGCAATGACTCTCGCAAGGAGGGTTTGTGAAGAGACTTTTGGGTGTTATGCTGATAACTTTGTCAGTTTCCATGCCACCACCTTATTTTCTCAGAGGTTAAAATCTGGAATAATATATATGACGGATCACTATCTACTGCAACACTATATGAATGAAACAAGTTTAACTGGTATTTCATATATCATTGTTGATGAAGCTCATGAAAGAAGCCTGAATACTGATCTCTTATTAGCATTGATCAAGAAGAAATTGCTCGAGAGACTTGATTTACGTGTTATAATAATGTCTGCTACGGCTGATGCTAGTAAACTGGCAGATTTTTTTAATGGTTGTTGTACCTTTCACGTCAAAGGGAGGACTTTTCCTGTTGATATCAAATATGTTACTGATGTGTCTGATGAGGATCTTTGGTGTCAGACCCCAAAGCATATTCCCAGCAATTATTCTTCATACCTTTCTAATGTTATCAAAATGGTGAGCATAATTCACAAGAAGGAGAAGGCTGGTGGAATTCTGGCATTTTTGACTTCTCAAGCTGAAGTAGAATGGGCTTGCGAAAATTTCAGTGATTCTTCAGCAGTGGTCTTACCACTGCATGGAAAACTTTCGCACGAAGATCAAATCCGTGTTTTTTGTAACTACCCAGAGAAGAGAAAAATCATTTTTTCCACAAATGTGGCAGAAACTTCGCTCACAATACAGGGCATCAAATATGTTGTCGACTCTGGCATGGTTAAGGAGAGCAGATTTGAACCAAGTACCGGCATGAATTTGCTTAGGGTTACCTGGACCAGTCAAAGTTCAGCAAATCAGAGATCTGGCCGAGCAGGTAGAACAGAACCAGGCAAATGCTACAGGCTTTATTCTAAATCAGATTTCCAGTCAATGACAGTGCATCAAGAGCCCGAAATTCGTAAAGTTCACCTTGGAGTTGCTCTTTTGAGGATCCTTATCTTGGGCGTGAAGAATGTACAGGACTTCGAGTTTGTTGATGCTCCAAGCCCGGAGGCGATTGACAAAGCCATGCAGAATCTTGTTCAGTTAGGTGCAGTTGTGTGCAAAAATCATTTCTTTGAGCTTACTTCTACTGGTTCTACCTTGGTTAAATTGGGTATTGAGCCTCGGCTTGGCAAAATAATCCTAGAGTCATTTTCATGTGGTTTAAGGAAGGAGGGTGTTGTTCTTGCCGCAGTTATGGCAAATTATAGTAGTATATTTTGTCGAGTTGGTAGCGATGTGGACAAGCATAAAGCTGACTGCTTGAAGGTCCCTTTCTGCCATCATGAAGGAGACCTTTTTACTCTGCTTTCTGTTTACTTGGAATGGGAAAATAAAGGCACAAACAAAAATGAGTGGTGCTGGCAGAATAGCATCAATGCCAAGTCTATGAGGAGATGTCATGAAGCTGTATTGGAGTTAGAAAATTGCCTAAAAAATGAGCTCAATATGATTACTCCCAGCTATTTTGTATGGAACCCGCATAAACCTAGTGAACGCGATAAGGATCTGAAGAAGGTTATTCTCTTTTCTCTTGTGGAGAATGTAGCTATGTACACTGGATCCGATCAACTTGGTTATGAAGTGGCTTTAACAGGGCAAAAACTGCCGCTTCATCCTTCCTGTTCACTTCTGGTATATGGGCAGAAGCCAAGCTGGATCGTGTTTACTGAAATATTGTCAAGTGAAAATCAGTATCTAGTTTGTGCAACTGCTGTTGATCGGGAAAGCCTGTGCACGGTTCGACTCCTTTCATTTAATATTGCACAAATGGAGGAGAAGAAGATGCTTACGAAGATTATCAGTGGGCTTGGAAATATTCTACTTCGAAGGTTATGTGGCAAGTCAAACCATGGCATAGAAAGCATTATGTCATACATTCAGAAAGAATGCATGGACCGAAATTTCTATATTAGAGCAGATTTCGATAGAAGAGAGATCCATTTATTTGCTTCTTCAAAGAATTTGGAAAAGGTCTCTTCCATGTTTAATGATGTCTTAGAGTGTGAAAGAAGATTGTTGAGGGAAGAGTGCATTGAGAAATGCTTATTCATTGCTGTTGCTGGAAGTTTTCCTTCCTTTGCACTATTTGGTTCCGGTGGTGAAATTAAGCATTTGGAACTCGACAATCGGTGTTTAACAGTGGAAATATTCTATCCTCGTGTCCATGAGTTGAACAATAAGGAACTTATTCTGTTAATTAATCAGAACATTTCAGGTATAGCTAATATTTATGTATTTGGAGGGAATGGACAAGAAGGACCAGACACTTGTAAGTGGGGCAAAGTAACATTTCTTAAGCCCGAAGATGCACAAAAAGCTATCACTAAGCTAAATAGGTTGGAATTTCATGGAAACTTGTTGAAAGTTGTGCCTGCAGTGGTGGCGGAACGTAGAAATTTACCTTTTTCTGCTGTAAGAACCAAAGTATGTTGGCCTCAAAGGCCTAGCAGGGGAGTTGCACTTGTCGAATGTTCAGCTGAGGATGCTGAATATATTATCAAGAATTGCTGTCCTAAGTTTATTGGAGGAAGTTATGTACAATGTTCAGCCAGCACAAAGTTCCCAAATTGTCTTTTTGTGACAGGAATTAGAAAAGATGCTTCAGAACGGGAAATATACTACGATTTTCTAAATGCAACTAACGGGAAAATTAATAGTGTTAAACTTCTTAGGGGAGAAGCTATCGATTGTCGTTCAGTTGATAGTTATGAGCAAGCACTCGTTCAAGAAATTGCTCCTTTCATGCCTAACAAGAAGCACAGTTTTAGAGTTGAAGTTTTAAAGCCAGAGCCAAAAGATGTTATGGTGAGAGCAGCTATCAATTTTGATGGAAGTTTACATCTAGAGGCAGCAAAGGCTTTGGACCATATCCAAGGAAAAGTCCTTCCTGGCTGTCTTTCATGGCAGAAGATGGAGTGTCAGGATATGTTCCATAGTTCAATATGTTGTACTACACGCATATATTCAGTCATCAAGGGACCGATGGAATCTTTGCTTGAAATGTTTAAACTTCAGAAAGGTATGCTTCCATTTGATTAGAAATTTTTTGTCAATTTTAATTTTTATCTTTTTGACTTCTGTGGTAATTGCCTTTTGTGACTTTCTGCTGGGTTACAGCTCCATTGCTCAGGATCTTGTAAGAGAATTTGATGAAAATTAACCAAATTATGATATTCACATTGTGCATCAGAAACATGTTGGCAGGAATCTCGAGGAGATCTAACGATCAAAAGTATAAAGGTAGAAAGCTGATGTTGGCCTCATTTTCAGTGAAGTCTAGTTTTCTTCTTAGGGTTTAGGGTCTAGCCTTAAGATTCTCCCTCTAACTATCTTATAGCCTTAGAAATGAGACCCACATCATTTTAGAAATCCAAACAATTTCTTTACTATTTTGAAGTTCTGCATGTGTGCTTCTTGACGTCTAGCACTTAGGAGGTTGAAACTGACATGAGAGAACTCAAAAGGAGTCCTCATAGGATCGTTAAGCCCTAGAGTTGCCTTATACACAATTTGCACATCCACTCGCACAAATTTTACAATTTGGACAGTCAACTCGTTTAATTATCGTAATTTACATCACATACGCCTTTATATGATTGATAATTAATCGAAACCAAAATTAATTTTCAAAACGATCGATTGCGAGCTCGAAATTTGAAGAAAATTGAAATTGATGCATTTTTGACCCGATTGTCGACGAGGTTGTCCGAACAATCCCGAATCATGAAACGGATTGCGCCGTCGAGTTCAGAACGTCGAATTCACCTAGAAAGGACACCCATTTTGATATAGTTTTGTGCACGAGTGAATAGTGCGCGAATTGCAAAATTTTAATATTAAACATTTAAAAAAAAATCATTTTACCTAAATCCCTAAACCCAAACTCGCGCACCCACAACCCCCTATTTGTCCCATTCGCGAGCCAGCCTATGGAGACTGAACTCCCTCCCCTTCGCAAAACCCTTGCTGGCTAGAGGTCCCCCCTTTCTCGCGAAGCTTCGATCGAGGTCCCCTTCCTAGCTCTGGTAAGGCTTCCACTTACTCCCTGCCGCACTTTGGTACGGCTTCCACCAACTCCACGTCGTGCTTCGGTTTTCCGATGGGTTTGGAGTTTTTTTTGGGGGGGGGGGGGGGGTTATTATGGTCGAGTGATTCTTCCCTATTGGTTGGTTTTTCCTTAGTTTGCTTGGTGTTTGGTTTTCTCTATTTCTCTTGAATAGAAAAGCGAGGTGCCTCTTCTTCCTCTTCTCCTTACCCTCATTTCTCCTTCTTTCCTCCATTTCATTTGTTGTCTTTACTTTTTCTTTTCTGCTTGAAAATGCTTAGTTTAATATATATAGCAGCCTTCGAAAGGGTCTCCTTTTTGGGTTGTGCAGAGTGCTATGTGCGTAAATACGAGAGTTCAGGTTCTTCTTGAATCCAAATAGAAGTGGTAATACCTTTTGTTTGCATATGAACGGGTACTTTCTCATTTCATTGTAAAGGTTTCATTCGTATGTGAAGTTATTCTCATCCGATGGGTTTGCAATACATTGCAATGGAGTAAGTAGAAATTTCAATTTCTCTTCGGAATTATACTTGTGGAATTATACTTGATTACTTGAAGATTGGTTCTAGTTTTTTTTATATATATAGGATTTGAGGTTTTCTCTTACTCTCTTACACTACCTTGTGCAAAGCTATTTAGATGAATTGTTTTATTGAATTGTACAAAGAAATTGATGCAATAATTTCATGAAAGGAGAAACCTATCATTTGAGACTAAAAGCCTGTGGACTTTCCTTGATTATATAAGGTTATATTCTTTGAATCCGAATTTGCTTATGGTTTCAAATTGATTCATAGTTTGAAATGGGGAATATACGAGCATTGTTTTTTGAAATATTTGGGGTGGTTAAATTCATACCATGTTGGGTAATGTGGAAACCCGGTCCACCGAATTTAATTATCTTCTTAATTAAGTATCCCACCTACCGCTCACCTACCTCCCACCTACCGCTCTCATGGTTCCCACCCCTACCTCCCACCTACCGCTCTCATGGTTTCTATAAATCGCCTCTTTTGGTTTAAAGGAATGCAAACCAAGCAAAGCCAAACAAAATCAAGCAAAGCCAAGCCTCAAGTCAAGCAAGGCTTAGCCAAGTCACCTTGAGAGCTAAGAGAAAGAGGTATGAAGAGAAGAAAATATAGATTTTCTTGTAAACGTCGAGGCGTTCGACGGTGTAATTCCTCGAAGTAGTAAAATCCTCTACAGCTTCGTGTACGTAGGCAATTTTGCCGAACCACGTAAATCTGTGTGTCGCTCTGGTATTTTTTCTGCGTGCAATTTTTCTCGTTTCATTTTTCGCTTTATTGTCGTCGTTTTTCACAACAACTGGTATCAAATCCCTGTTTCAAATCTAAGGAAGAACAATTGGCGAAGACGAAGTGATGATATCGGGGATCGAGAAGTTCAATGACACAGATTTTGCTTATTGGAGGATGCAGATAGAGGACTACCTCTATGGGAATAATTTTCCTTTTCCGTTACTAAAAGGAAAACGACCAGAAAAGATGGACGAGACGGAATGAAATCTATTAGATCGACAGGTTTTGGGGGTTATACGATTAACCATGTCGAGATCGGTTGCCCACAACTTTATCGAGGAGAGGACTACCTCAGATCTCATGACGGCTTTATCAGGTATGTATAAAAAGTCATCGGCGAATAATAATGTGCATCTGATGAAAAAATTATTCAACATGAAGATGTCGGAAGGTATGTCTGTTGCTTAACATCTGAATGATTTCAACACTATCACAAATCAGTTGTCGTTTGTTGAAATTAATTTTGATGATGTGATACGTGCGCTGATATTGTTGGCATCATTGTCAAATAGCTGAGAAGCTATGAAGATGACAGTTACCAATTCTGCAGGTAAATCTAAGCTGAAATATGATGATATTCGTGATTTGATTTTGGTTGAGGAGGCGCGCAGGAAAGATTCTGGCGAGACCTCGGGTTCGATTTCAGCACTGATTGTTGATTCCAGAGGGAGATCACAAGACAAAAAATCAAACTTTGGAAGATCAAAATCAAAGTCACAGCAGGAAACCTGCTGAAATTGTGGCAAGGCTGACCACATAAAAAAGAACTGTAGGAATCTTAAGAAAAAAGAGAATGATGTCGCTAATGTTGTATCTGAAGAAATACAGGATGCACTATTTCTGACAGTTTATAGTTCTGTTGATGATTGAATACTGGATTTAGGAGCTTTCTTCCATACATCTTCCCGTCGAGAGTTAATGCGAAATTATGTTGCAGGTAACTTTGGGAAGGTATATATGGTTAATAGAAAAGCTCTAGACGTGGTGGGGATCGGAGATGTTAATATTGCACTCCCTAACAAGAGCAAATGAACTTTACAAAATGTTAGACACGTTCTTGAGTTGAAAAAAAATCTCATCTCTGTTGGACAACTCAATGAGGGTGGTCATTCAGTGGTGTTCTCAGATAACAACTGGAATGTTACCAAAGGAACATTAGTACTAGCACGGGGTAAGAAAACTGACACACTATATATGACCAAAGATTTACTCAGGCGTGGACACATGAGTAAGAGGTGCATTATGAGGAAGTAGAAGAAAGTCCATTTCTTGAAAAGTGGCAGAGCGCCAAAGGCAGTAAAATCGGACCATGTACAGACAAATGGTGGAGAACCACAGAGTTATAAAGAAATCTTGCAAGATGAGAATTCGAGCAAGTAGGAGCTAACCAAGAAGGAGGAGACAGATTCCCTGTCAGGGAATCAGACTTGGGAGCTGATAGAACTTCCACCAAGGAAGAAGACATTACATAACAAGTGGGTGCATCAGATGAAAACTACGCTTGATGACAGTAAGAGCTACAAGACTGGACTTATTGAAAAGGGTTTTCAGCAGAAGCAGGACATTGCTCATGCAGTGGAAGTTGTAAGTAGATACATGAGTAACCCAGGAAAGTTTGGTGGTACTTGGTTATGTTGACAGTGATATGTCAACTGAGGGTGTTACTTGTGAGAAGCTGAAGTTTTCAGCTGTGTTCAACTTCAACTGGTTTTCTGACATGATGACATGGACCTTTAGTTGCAGAGGTGGAGGATATCATGCTTGAGGAAAATGTCGGTACAACTAGTAGATGATGCAGCTAGTAGGTGATGCATTCAGTGTCCCAGTCTCTAAGTGAGAGAATTGTTGGGTAATGTGGAGACCCTGTCCACTGAATTTAATGAGCTTCTTAATTAAGTATCCCACATACCACACCCACCTACTGCTCACTTACCTCCCACCTACCGCTCTCATGGTTTCTATAAATAGTCTCTTTTGGTTTAAAGGAAATGCAAGCCAAGCAAAGCCAAGCCTCAAGCTAAGCAAGACTAAGTCAAGTCATCTTGAGAGTTAAGAGAAAGAGAGGAAGAGAGAGAGAGAGAGGAAGAGAGATAAGAAAATAGAGATTTTCTTGTAAACGTCGAGACGTTTGATGGTGTATTTTCTCGAAGTAGTAAAATCCTCTGCAGCTCCGTGGACGTAGGCAATTTTGCCGAACCACGTAAATCTGTGTGTCGCTCTGGTGTTTTTTCTGTGCGCAATTTTTCTCGTTCCATTTTTCGCTTTATTGTCCTCGTTTTTCACAACATACCATACTTGAATTGGTGAAGGTATTTGTTCGGCTATATGGGTTTAGCTTTACTGTCTTGGATTTATGGAGTATCTTTGATTCTCTTTTACTGTTGAAATACATTATTGCTGTAATATAATGAAATTAGACATGAATTTTCTTGGTAAAAGAATTTCTGCTTGCAATTTGGAAGTTTTCGTTTGTTATTGCTGCTCGAAGTGAGTTCTCTTCCTTTCTTCTCTTCTTTAGCCATCTAATGTGAGGCTCGTTTTCATGCTGAAATTCTTTTACTCCTTTACTTGGATAAATAAGAGTTAAAGATGAAATTCTTGATCCTGAATTAATGGATTTACGATTCTTCGCGATATATTCTTTTGAAAAGT